ATTGGGCAATCCTCTCTCTGTTTTAAACCTTAATTTTTCAAAAAAACTTATTCCCTTTAAATTTTTAAAATCTTTTTGTCCCCCTTTCCCCTTTATGAAAAAGGAACTATACGTGCTTTCCCTGCCAACCCCTAGGTACCTGGAGTTTACCTGGAGAAAATTTCCCGGGGGTGTCAACCCCCCCGGGGGCCGGTCTGGGGACCGGGCCCTTTCCGGGGGGGAATCAGAGCCGGGATCAACCAGGCTGTTGCTGCGGGCCCTGCAAAAAAAACCAATGTACGAGCCACAGCCCGGGGGTCGGGAACGGGATTTAGGTGCTTTTTCCAGTGCCACCCTTTGAAAAATGCCGGGGGTCTTTTGGTAATCCCCCTTAGGGATGCTGGGAGGCAGTTGAACATTCTGGGGGCCCCCTGACACTTACTGTTTTGGTCTTTTTAAACGTGCTAGTGACACCCGTTTTTTCATTGGGGGGTTTGGTGCATCGTTTTGCCAAGTCTTTTCCCTTTCTTTAGTAAAGGGGTTTTTTGGGGGTTGGCAAGTTCGGTACTATTTCCCCCTAGGTTTTTTTCAGGTGTTTTATAATATGTATCTCTCCCGCCTCCTTTTCCAGGGAATACAGTTTTAGGAACCTCAAGCGTTTCCCAGTATTGAAGTGTTTTATCTCCTTTTATGCGGCCTGTAAATTTTTCCCTTGTACATTTTCTAGGTGGGAAATTTCCCCGCCTTGAAAGGTGGTTAGTGTCCCAGCAATATTCCACCCTTTAGATGGGAACAAGTGCCCTGAGAGTGTCATCAGGGGTTTGGGCCTCCCTTTTTAAAAAGGGTTCTCTTTATCCTCCTTTTATTTTTAGCAGATGGGGATTGATACAAGGTTATGGTCCTTGAAGGTGGATCCTCCGCCCATGATCACTCCCAGGTCTTTGACGTTGGTTTTTTTCCCCTCTTTTTTGGGGCCCCAAAAATTTGTTTTGTACCCTGATGAAGTTTTAATTTCCTCATTTTTTCCATTTCGGGAGTAATTAAAATTTTCTCATCTTTGGGAATTCATTTTTTGTTTTCTGCAGCTTCGAATATTTCCAGTGCTGTATGACCCAAATGGCTTTTGTACTTGGGTTTTTTGGATTATAATAATCTCTTTCTTTAAAAAGCAGGGTACCGGGATTTTAAACCTGGAGAGGGGTTCGGGGTTTCAAGCCCCCGGGGCCCCGGTCTGTAGGGGGCCCTTTCCTGGTGGAATCAGCGCCCTAAATAAACCAGGCTGTTGCGGGGCGGGCTGCATGCAAACCAAGTACGACCCCAAAACCCCCGGCTGATCGGGAAAACTGACTTTGGTCTTGCCAGTGCCAGCTTGAAGATCCCGGGGGTCTTTTGGGTAAACCCCCTTTTTATTTTGTGCTGGGAGGAGTTTGAACATTTCCGGGGGCCCCGGGACACTTTTGGTATGGTCTCTTAACGTGTAGGGACCCCCCCTGCTTTTCTTTTGGGGGGGAGGGTTTGCATCGTCTCCCAAAGGGTCTTTTGCTTTCGTAGTGAACGATTTTCGTGTGCAAGTTCGGTACTAGTCCCTTTTGGGTTTTCCAGGTGTATAAAATTCTTTGTATCTCTCCCTCCTGCGTTCCAGGGGATAAAGGTTAAAAACCTCAACCCGCCCCCAAAATTGAGGTGTTTTTATCTCCGTTATGGCCCCTTTAAAAAGTTCCCCTGTAATTTTTAGGTCGGAAATTTTCACCTGCTTAAAAGGGTGCTTTTGATTTGCGGGAAATATTCACCCTATAGAAAAAGTGACTTGAAGAGTTCATCATGGGTTTGGGCCCCCCTATTTTTTTAAAGGTTCTCATTATCCATCCTGTCTTTTTCTAGCAGATGCGATTGATAAAATGTTATGGCCCTTTTTGAAGGTGAGATCCTCCGACTTTAATCACCCCCGGGGTCTTTGACGTTGGTGCTTCGCCCCCTATTTTGTGGCCAGAATTTGTTTTTACTCTGATGAAGTTTTAAATTTCCTCAGTTTACAAAATCTAAAGAAATTTTGAAATTTCTAAATCGTTGAACTTAAATATTGTTTTCTGCACCCCAAACTGAAAGTTTTGGGTTTGATTTTCCGCCTGGACCCTTGCAGGGTCCCGCCCAAAGGGAAAACACTGTCATGCCCGATTGGGTGTCATCTGCAAAAGGGAAAACACCGGGGCCCGTGGCTGACATCCCCTTTTCTATGTCGGGTATGAGGATGAAAGGGAAAAAGATGGGGTAGTACTGTGCCTTGTTTGGAAAAGGCTTTTCACCGTAGCTGCCTCGGACTTTACTCTTGTTTACGAACCTCTGTGTTCTGTTTTGTGAGGGGGAAAATTTTAGATTTCCCTGACCCCCACTTTTCCTGTTTTTCCTTTAGCGCGCATTTTGTTCGCAAATTTCGCCATGGTCACACTTGTCGAAGGGCTTTTTTCAAAGTTGTATTTTATTTTCATCTGATTTTTTTGTCTTCTAGTGCATTTTGGACCTTGTGGGAGTGACCAGTAGTTGGGGCAGACAGGAGGACCTGTTCTAAAACCCCTGTTGGCCCCGGGTTGTGTAAATGATGGGTTTCTAGATGGGTGGTGATCTTGGGTTTTTTAGGACCCTTTCAAAGATTTTTTTGAATGGGATGTTAGTTGCTATTGGGCTGTAGTTCTTTGCTTTTTGCTTTACTGCCCCCTTTGTTGGAGTGGGGCTATGTCTGTTGTTTTTAGTAACTGAGGGACGACCCCCGTGTCCATGCTCCCTCTCCATAGGATGGAAAAGGCTCGTGATAGGGGCTTCTTGCAGTTCTTGATGAACACAGAGTTCCATGAGTCGGCCCTGGGGAAAGAGGTGCTTGGGCATGTCATTTACGCCTTTTCGAAGTCATTTGGCGTCAGGATAACATCGGATTAGGCTTGTTTTAAATAAAATTTTTTGTGGCTCTCCGTAAAAATTCGTTTTGATCTTCGACTCTCAGTCGGGTTTTAGCGGCCCTTGCTAAAAACTGAGTCATATTGGGACTTGAGTAGCTCACTCATTTCCTTGCTGTCATCTGTGTAGGACCCATCTTGTTTAAGTAGGGGCCCAATACTGGACGTTGTTCTCGATTTTGATTTGGCATAGGAGAAGAAATACTTTGGGTTTCTTTCGATTTCATTTATGGCTTTTAGTTCTTCCCGCGATTCCTGACTCCTAAAGGATTCTTTTAGCTTAAGTTCGATGCTTGCTATTTCTCTGACCAGTGTCTCCCTGCGCATTTCAGATATATTGACCATCAGATATAATCGACCATCATAAAAAAATAGAACAGTAGTAAGCAAGGCTACTCTAAAGGGGAAAACCATTTGCTTTTTTAATGCACCAGCCAAAGAACAAAATTTGAAGGGTTAGGACTAAACACAATGAGCTTAACTCTACTCCTGTAATTAGAATTAGATACAAAATGGTAATCACAGTACATTGAAAAAAGTAGCCAAAAATGAAGTAAAACACTTTGGATGTTCACTGTTTGTTAAGCATAATTGTGTTACAAAATACTGTATGAGCTCAGAACTTGATAGTACTGGAAGAGAAAGTTGCAGAACCTGACTAAGTCATAAAAGCAACAGCTGAGAATATTTCAAGGATAAAACCATAAACTAATAGATTTTGTGAGCAATTTCAAAATTATTTTACGGAACCTTACTCCACCATACTACCTCACATTTGTATTAAGTTTAAATAAGAATGTAAAACAGTTAACCACTACTTTTTGTCTAGTTTTAAGTATAGTTACCATGTACCTATTATCTTGTCTAGTTTTAATTAGTTACTATTTATTAGGATTAGTCTGCCCAAAATGCCCTGGCATCATAATGGCTATCTTTGTACTTAGCAAATCTAAACTGTAATTCTACATTGTAACCTTTACAAAGAAATAAATTTTATCTTATCTTATCACAGATAAAGAGAAAGAAATTCATTAATCCACTACAAGGTTTTTGTCTAATATAGAAGTGGGTGTGAATGACCAAATCTAAGTTGGGAAAAAATAAAACTTGCACCTGCCTGGACCATTACATTGTAATATGGAATACATGAAGAACTTTAGTATTGTAAAAGGCTCAAATAAATTCCCAGAAAGTATATCTGGAAAGGGTTTCAGGGGTCATCACTCCCACAGCCCAGTCTGAGACTGGGCCACATGGTGAATCAGGGTCTGATCAACCAGTATAATACAGTACTGTACTATCAATACCTCTATTGCAACTAGCTAAATCTGAAGGAAGAATGATGGAATATCACCTAGTGGGGAAATGCTATGTGGATGACAAGACTGAAATACGGAATTAATGTAACCTACAAAAGGCCATCTGCAGAATTGGGCGCAAATACTGTACATGTAGAAAAAGAAAGTGGAATATGACCATGTGAATGACACTTAAGTATGTAACAGCATGGATTTCATACCAACTAAAACATAAAGAGGGTCCAAGATTTGCAGTTAGGCTACTCTACAACTGGAAACAGGTGTAGAGAACTGACAACCTAGAAGTGAGGAGCAGCTGATGCCATGGTCACAATGTTTAAGATACTTCGTGTTATTAACATGGATGTAGAAATTAAAAGGAGTAGGGATAGAAACAAAACACACATAGAAGCTTAAAAACTAAAAATAGTTAAAGATGTAAGAAGACTTTTTCAGAGTGAGTGTTGTAAGCAAGTGAAATGCACCAGGGGATGAGCTAGAGGTTAATTCCGTACAGGGGTTCCAGTGTAAATATAAGTCAATGAGTCACGAAATCGCAAACAAACCATACCACGGGTGGTTTTTTTTTTAAGTCAATGAGGCTTTGGAGACAGCTAAAAACTAGAACTCAATCCCTATAAACACATGCAGGCAAGTAAAGTACAAGGACAGTACTCAACATGACATAGTATGTTTTTTTTTTTTTTTACAGTACTCGACTCTAGAATGTAAATGCAGCACTAACATGCCTCTACCACCTCATCATGCACATTACCTGAGTCGCTGAAACTGTGGAGTGTCAATTATCTGGACACACAAAGGATGTATGGAGATTGAACCATGGATAGCATCATTGAACATCTTTCCCTCCACCTCCACATAACTCCTTGCACACATACATTTTGCACCGTCTGTCTCCATCTTTTATCTGGGATCTGCTGCTGTCCTGCCTACAAAAAATTCAGATGTTACTTTGTAAGAGAAATGAAAATACATACTGTAATTATAAAATTAGGACTACACACGAATGAATCACTGTCAAAACTGATACAGAACTGAACCCTACAAAATGCCTAACAGAAACTCATTATTCCAGCATTAAACTTAGTATAGTGCTTGTCTACTTTAATTTCAACATTATTTTATTCATGGGGAGCACCAAACCAGAAGTGGTCATACAGTGCCTGGAAAAATGGAAGGTATTCAGATTTGATCCAAGTAAGGGAATGGAAGGGAAGGTCCAATACAGTACGGCCCTACTTACATGGCTGGTTAGGTTCCAGGCTATCGCCAGAAAGCAGAACGCCATTTTTTCCCACTTAGTTTAATATGTTTATTATGCACCCCATACCCATCCTGTGGGTATGGGGTGCATAATAAACATATTAAACAGAGGTACATAATGGGTCCAGGGACTGGGCCCCAAAGTTTTGATAGCTGAGCAAGGCAGAAAGGTAATGAACTCCAGGTAGATCTGGTCACAGTCATAAGTTACAAAGGTATTTACAGATTACAGAGGTACATAATGGGTCCAGGGACTGGGCCCCAAAGTTTTGACAGATGAACTTGGTACAAAGGTAATGAATCCTGTAAGTAAGTTTACTTAAGTTTATACATGGCTACAGTTGTGAACAAATTATGTATAGAGTAATGAGCAATTCACGCGTCCACACCCGGCCACAACTGTAATGAGTTTATTGGTGCAAATATTAATTGTTGGGACAGACACACACGCAGACACACATGCAGACACACACACACACAGACAGACACACACACACACACACACACACACACACAGACACACACACACAGACACACACACACAGACACACACACACAGACACACACACACAGACACACACACACAGACACACACACACAGACACACACACACAGACACACACACACAGACACACACACACAGACACACACACACAGACACACACACAGACACACACACACCACACACACACGACACACACACACAACACACACACACACACACACACACAACACACACACACAACACACCACACACAACACACACACACAGACACACACACACAGACACACACACACACACACACACACACACACAGACACACACACACAGACACACACACACAGCACACACACACACACACACACACACACACAGACACCACACAACACAGACACACACAACACAACACCACACACACACCACACCAGCCCACACAACACACCAACCACACAGACCACATCACACCAGGTCCCACCCATCAACAAACACTCCACACACCACAACTCCTATAGAAGCTCACATCAATGCCCCCAACCAACATCATTAAAAAAAGTGGCATCAACCAAAGCAACCACATAGTTCACTATCAGTCTCCCAACATATGCCCCAACACCCATAAAAAATCACTCTCCACAGAACTCAAATCTTAGAAAAGGGAAGTGGAAGGTTGATGTATACAAAGCAGATGGTAACAAATAAGTATGAGGAGTGGCACAAAAGAATCAAGAAGACATCCCCAGACATAATAGCACTCACAGAAACAAAACTCACCAGAATAATAAGAGATTCAATCTTTCCATCCGGATATCAAATCCTCAGGAAAGACAGAGGGAGGAGAGGGGAGGAGGAGTTGCACTGCTCATTAAAAACCAGTGGGGGTTTGAGAAAATGGAAGGAATGGATGGCACGGGCAAAAGGGACTACTTAGTAGGAACAATCCAGTCTGAGGGACATAAGGTGATAATTGCAGTAATGTACAACCCACCACAGAACTGCAGGAGGCCAAGAGAAGAATACGATGAGAGCAACAGAGCAATGGTCGACACACTAGCCAAGGTGGCCAGGAGAGCACACATGGGGGGAGCAAAGTTACTAGTTATGGGTGATTTCAATCACAAGGAGATTGGGAAAACCTGGAGCCCCATGGGGGTCCCGAAACATGGAGAGCCAAGATGATGGATGTGGTACTGGAAAACCTCATGCATCAACATGTTAGAGACACTACCAGAGAGAGAGGAGAGGATGAACCAGCAAGACTGGACCTTGTATTCACCTTGAGTAGTTCTGACATCGAGGATATCATGTATGAAAGGCCCCTGGGAGCTAGTGATCATGTGGTTCTGTGCTTCGACTACATAGTTGAGCTCCAAGTGGAGAGAGCAGCAGGAATAGGGTGGGAAAAACCAAACTACAAAAGGGGGAACTACTCAGGCTTGAGGAACTTCTTTCAAGACATTCAGTGGGAGAGGGAACTGACAGGAAAACCAGTACAAGAAATGATGGACTATGTGGCAACAAAATGCAAGGAGGCAGAGGAGAGGTTTGTTCCCAAGGGAAATAGAAATAATGGGAAGAACAGAATGAGTCCTTGGTTCACCCAAAGGTGTAGGGAGGCAAAAACTAGGTGTACTAGAGAATGGAAAAGGTACAGAAGACAGAACTCAGGAAAATAAAGAGATTAGCTGAAGAGCCAGAAACGAATATGCACAGATAAGAAGGGAGGCTCAGCGGCAATACGAAAATGACATAGCATCGAAAGTCGAGACTGACCCGAAGCTGTTGTACAGCCACATCAGGAGGAAAACAACAGTCAAGGACCAGGTAATCAGACTGAGGAAGGGTGATGGGGAATTCACAAGAAACGACCGGGAGGTATGTCAGGAGCTCAACACAAGATTTAAAGAAGTATTTACAGTGGAAACCAGTAGGACTCCAGGAAATCAGAGCAGGGGGGTGCACCAGCAAGTGCTGGATGAGGTACATATAACCAAGGAGGAGGTGAAGAAGCTGCTATGCGAACTTGACACATCAAAGGCGGTGGGACCAGACAACATCTCTCCGTGGGTCCTTAAAGAGGGAGCAGAGACATTGTGTGTACCATTAACGAAGATCTTCAACACATCATTTGTAACTGGGCAACTCCCCGAGGTATGGAAGATGGCAAATGTAGTCCCAATTTTTAAAAAGGGAGACAGACATGAGGCACTAAACTACAGACCTGTATCACTAACGTGTATAGTATGCAAGGTCATGGAGAAAATCCTGTGTCACAAACCTATTAGAGTTTTATGACAAGGTGACAGAAGTAAGACGAGAGAGAGGGGTGGATCGACTGTATTTTTTTGGACTGCAAGAAGGCCTTCGACACAGTTCCTCACAAGAGGTTACTGCAAAAGCTAGAGGATCAGGCACACATAAGAGGAAAGGCACTGCAATGGATAACAGAATACCTTACAGGGAGGCAACAACGAGTCATGGTACGTGATGAGGTGTCAAAGTGGGTGCCTGTGACAAGTGGGGTTCCACAGGGGTCAGTCCTAGGACCTGTGCTGTTCTTGGTATATGTGAATGACAAAACGGAAGGGATAGACTCAGAAGTGTCCTTGTTTGCGGATGATGTGAAGTTAATGAGAAGAATCAAATCGGATGAGGATCAGGCAGGACTACAAAGAGACCTGGACAGGCTACAAGCCTGGTCCAGCAACTGGCTCCTTGAGTTTAACCCCGCCAAATGCAAAGTCATGAAGATTGGGGAAGGGCAAAGAAGACCGCAGACACAATATAGTTTAGATGGCCAAAGTCTGCAAACCTCACTCAAGGAAAAAGATCTGGGGGTGAGTATAACACCGAGCATATCTCCTAGGGCGCACATCAATCAGATAACTGCTGCAGCATACGGGCGCTTGGCAAACCTACGGATAGCGTTCCGATACCTCAGTAAGGAGTCGCTCAAGACTCTGTATACCATTTACGTCAGGCCCATACTGGAGTATGCAGCACCAGTTTGGAATCCACACCTAGTCAAGCACATCAAGAAATTAGAGAAAGTGCAAAGGTTTGCAACAAGACTAGTCCCAGAGCTACGGGGATTGTCCTACGAAGAAAGGTTGAGGGAAATCGGCCTGACGACACTAGAGGCCAGGAGGGTCAGGGGAGACATGATAACGACATATAAAATACTGCGCGGAATAGACGAAGTGGACAAAGACGGGATGTTCCAGAGATGGGACACAGACACAAGAGGTCACAATTGGAAGTTGAAGAATCAGATGAATCAAAGGGATGTTAGGAAGTATTTCTTCAGTCATAGAGTAGTCAAGCCGTGGAATAGCCTAGAAAGTGAAGTAGTGGAGGCGGGAACCATACATAGTTTTAAGGCGAGGTATGATAAAGCTCATGGAGCAGGGAGAGAGAGGACCTAGTAGCAATCAGTGAAGAGGCAGGGCTAGGAGCTATGACTCGACCCCTGCAACCACAAATAGGTGAGTACAAATAGGTCAGTACACACAGAGTCTGGGGAGCACAAGGTGGTCATTGCAGTGATGTATAATCCACCACAGAACTGCAGGAGGCCAAGAGAGGAATATGAAGAGAGCAACAGAGCAATGGTGGACACACTTGCTGAGGTGGCAAGAAGGGCTCACTCCAGCAGAGCAAAGTTGCTGGTTATGGGGGATTTCAACCACAGGGAGATTGACTGGGAAAGCCTGGAACCACATGGGGGTCCCGAACATGGAGAGCCAAGGTGTTGGATGTGGTGCTGGAAAACCTCATGCACCAACATGTTAAGGACACTACCAGAGTGAGAGGGGAGGATGAACCAGCAAGACTGGACCTTGTGTTCACCCTGGGCAGTTCAGACGTTGAGGACATCACATATGAGAGTCCCCTAGGAGCTAGTGACCACATGGTTCTGTGCTTTGAATACGTACATAGTAGAGTTGGAGAGAGTAACAGGAATTGAATGGGAAAAGCCTGACTATAAAAGAGGGGACTACATAGGGTTGAGGAACTTCCTGCAGGAGGTTCCGTGGGACAGAGAACTGGCAGGAAATGAAATGATGGAATATGTAACAACAAAATGCAAGGAGGCAGTGGAAAGGTTTATTCCCAAGGGCAACAGAAACAATGGAAAGACCAGAACGAGCCCCTGGTTTACCCGACGGTGTAAGGAGGCAAAAACAAAGTGCAATAGAGAATGGAAAAAGTACACAAGGCAGAGAACACATGAAAATAGGGAGATCAGTCGCAGAGCCAGGAACGAGTATGCACAGGTAAGGAGGGAGGCCCAGCGACAGTATGAAAATAACATAGCATCGAAAATCAAGACTGACCCGAAACTGTTGTATAGCCACATCAGGAGGAAGACAACAGTCAAAGACCAGGTGATCAGACTGAGGACAGAAGGTGGAGAACTCGCAAGAAATGATCAGGAGGTATGTGAGGAGCTAAACAGAAGATTTAAGGAAGTTTTTACAGTAGAGACAGGAAGGGCTCTGGGAGGACAGCACAGAAGGGAACATCAAGAGGGAATATACCAACAAGTGTTGGATGACATACGAACAGCCGAGGAGGAAGTGCAGAAGCTGCTAAGTGACCTTGATACCTCAAAGGCGATGGGACTGGAAACATCTCCCCATGGGTCCTTAGAGAAGGAGCAGAGATGCTGTGTGTACCCCTAACCACAAGCTTCAACACATCCCTTGAAACTGGGCAACTACATGAGAAATGGAAGACAGCAAATGTAGTCCCCATATTTAAGAAAGGAAACAGAAATGAGGCACTAAACTACAGACCTGTGTCTCTGTGTGCAAAGTCATGGAGAAGATCATCAGAAGGAGAGTGGTGGAACACCTGGAACGGAACAAGATTATAAATGAAAACCAGCATGGGTTCATGGAAGGCAAATCCTGTGTCACAAACCTTCTGGAGTTTTATGATAAGGTAACAGAAGTAAGACACGAGAGAGAGGGGTGGGTTGATTACGTTTTCCTAGACTGCAGGAAGGCCTTTGACACAGTTCCCCACAAGAAATTAGTGCAGAAGCTGGAGGATCAGGCACATATAACAGGGAGGGCACTGCAATGGATCAGGGAATACCTGACAGGGAGGCAACGAGTCATGGTACATGAAGAGGTTTCACAATGGGTGCCTGTGACGAGCGGGGTCCCACAGGAGTCAGTTCTAGGACCAGTGCTATTTTTGATATATGCGAACGACACGATGGAAGGAATAGACTCTGAAGTGTCCCTATTCGCAGATGATGTGAAGTTGATGAGAAGAATTAAATCGGATGAGGATGAGGCAGAACTGCAAAGAGACCTGGACAGGCTGGACATGTGGTCCAGAAACTGGCTTCTCGAATTCAACCCTGCCAAAAGCATAGTCATGAAGATTGGGGAGGGGCAAAGAAGACTGCAGACAGAGTATAGGCTAGGTGGACAAAGACTACAGACCTCACTTAGGGAGAAAGACCTTGGGGTGACCATAACACCGAGCACATCACCGGAGGCACACATCAACCAAATAACTGCTGCAGCATACGGGCGCCTGGCAAACCTGAGAATAGTGTTCCGATACCTAATAAGGAATCGTTCAAGACACTGTACACTGTGTATGTTAGGCCCATACTGGAGTATGCAGCACCAGTCTGGAACCCACACCTGGTCAAGCACGTCAAGAAGTTAGAGAAAGTACAAAGGTTTGCAACAAGGCTAGTCCCAGAGCTCAGGGGAATGTCGTACGAGGAAAAGTTGAGGGAAATCGGACTGACGACACTGGAGGACAGAAGGGCAGACATGATAATGACATACAAGATACTGCGGGGAATAGACAAGGTGGTCAGAGATAGGATGTTCCAGAGAGGGGACACAGGGACAAGGGGTCACAACTGGAAGCTGAAGACTCAGACGAGTCACAAGGACGTTAGGAAGTATTTCTTCAGTCATAGAGTCGTCAGGAAGTGGAATAGCCAGGCAAGTGAAGTAGTGGAGGCAGGAACCATACATAGTTTTAAGAAGAGGTATGACAAAGCTCAGGGAGAGGACCCAGTAGCGATCAGTGAAGAGGCGGGGCCAGGAGCCGAGTCTCGACCCCTGCAACCACAATTAGGTGAGTACAATTAGGTGAGTACACACACCTACTACCTGACAAGCCAAGATTGTAATCTACCCCCTCTTTGAAAGCGTACAGCTTAGCCAGTTTATCATTTCTATCCTGCATCCGAAGACCAATGTGAGATGGAATCCACAATATGTGCACTCTGACTCCACTGTCCACAATTTTCCACTTATACATGCATATAAATGTATACGTTTACACTAACATATATTAAATTAGCATTATTATTATGGGGAGGGCTAAGCCCGTAGGGATTAGACAGCGCCTGTGGGTGGGTGGGAGGGTGGAATGGTTTTTATTCAGATTCAATTCAGGAAACTGGCGCACAGATCCAATTCCCTATATCAAGAGCCCCTCACCAACATCCAAGAATCTCCCTTGAGGGGTAAGTTAGCAATAGAAGTAGGCATTTAAACAAAAACGTAAAATACACACACAATACACTCATTACTTGCCTTAAAATATCTGTAGTCTTCATGTAGGGTGAGAGATGAGTAGTGTTTATTGTGTTAGGCGTGTTAGGTAGGTGCCACCCCACCCACATGTAATATGCTACGACATTTAAAGCACACCAGAGCGATAAAATGCATATACAGCACACTTATTACTTAAAATATTTGTAGTCTTAATGTAGGGTGAGATGTGAGTAAACGAGATGCAACGAATAAACGAAAGAGAAAACGGGTAAATGAAAGAGAACAGAGACAGAGTATGTAAACAAGCAGACGGACGCGTCTGGGTATGGTTCATACACGTTCATTTCCACGTTTGTGATGCTTATACCATAATATAAAGACCTTACATTGTGTACAAGTTAAGTAAGTTGGTTCCACTTTGGTACAGTAGAATAAATAAAGAGCAACACATCCATTAGTAAGTTTATTCAGGTATACACAAATAGTTACACAGATTATCATACATAGCAGCATATGTAGAGAACCTGGGATAACCCAAAAAAGTCAGTCACTTATTTCCATTGGGGTCCTTTTAATACTTTATTATTATACTATATAAAGGAGGTAATATCTTATTATTATACCATAAAGGATATATACTAGGGGTAAGGTAAAATGAGTTATTTATATTTACATGTGTGTTTGCTAAAAAAAAAAAAAAAATTCTCCTCCCTTTCTGTCCCTATTCATTAGGCACCTTTTGGCTCTCATCTTGAATTGGCTCGTGCTATGACTGGTTTTGACATGTGCAGGCAGTCTGTTCCATTCCTTTATTGTTGTACAGTAAAAGGTGTTTGAAGCCTGGCTACTGACTGTGGGTACTACAAAGTTGTGCTCTCCCCATAGTACTATGATTGCTCTGGTTCTCAGCCTTGACAAAATTGGCAGCAAGATATTCTGGACACTGTGAGCAATTTTATAAACTTAATTTAACTTTAGTTGTTTTACTCTGTCTTCAACATTCAGCGTATCTAATTATTGTATGTCATCCTGGTCTATACACTCTCTTGGACCCAGGTCCAAGATGAACCTTACCAATTTGTTCTGTGTGATTTGTAGTCTATCAGTTTTTTGTCAAGGCAGAGTACCATGAAGAGCAAGTGTAGTCCATATGACATTGTATAAGGGCTAGACATAGGGTCCTGCGAGCCTCGGTAGGTAGACACTGCGTCTGTAGATTAACTTCAGTTCGTCATTCACTTTCTTTACTAAACTCTTCCCTATCATTTCTCCCGAAATGCATGGGTCAAAGGGGATTCCTAGATATTTTACCGAAGAAACTAAAGTGATGGGGTCCCCATTACACCAGCCATTAAAATTATTTACCCTTCTCAGTTTGTTTCGTGCCAAAAAAATATGGCTTCCGTTTTCCCGAGGTGTAACGACAGTGTGTAGTCTACTAACCATTTGCTGCAGGACTCCAGTTCCGGTGTTATTACATGAGCTATATCTTGTGGCTCTTTACCTGACACTAACAGAGCACTGCCTGGTGGCTCTGGTGGTTAACGCTCTCGCTTCACACGGCGAGGGCCTGGGTTCGATTCCACGGCGAGGGCCTGGGTTCGATTCCCAGCCAGAGTAGAAACATTGGGCGTGTTTCTTTCCACCTGTTGTCTATGTTCCCCATCAGTAAAATGGGTACCTGGGTGTTAGTCGACTGGTGTACCTGGACCTGGAGTTTACCTGGAGAGAGTTCCGGGGGTCAACGCCCCCGCGGCCCGGTCTGAGACCAGGCCTCCTGGTGGATCAGAGCCTGATCAACCAGGCTGTTGCTGCTGGCTGCACGCAAACCAACATACGAACCACAGCCCGGCTGATCCGGAACTGACTTTAGGTGCTTGTCCAGTGCCAGCTTGAAGACTGCCAGGGGTCTGTTGGTAATCCCCCTTATGTGTGCTGGGAGGCAGTTGAACAGTCTCGGGCCCCTGACACTTATTGTATGGTCTCTTAACGTGCTAGTGACACCCCTGCTTTTCATTGGGGGATGGTGCATCGTCTGCCAAGTCTTTTGCTTTCGTAGTGGGTGATTTTCGTGTGCAAGTTCGGTACTAGTCCCTCTAGGATTTTCCAGGTGTATATAATCATGTATCTCTCCCTCCTGCGTTCCAGGGAATACAGGTTTAGGAACCTCAAGCGCTCCCAATAATTGAGGTGTTTTATCTCCGTTATGCGCGCCGTGAAAGTTCTCTGTACATTTTCTAGGTCGGCAATTTCACCTGCCTTGAAAGGTGCTGTTAGTGTGCAGCAATATTCCAGCCTAGATAGAACAAGTGACCTGAAGAGTGTCATCATGGGCTTGGCCTCCCTAGTTTTGAAGGTTCTCATTATCCATCCTGTCATTTTTCTAGCAGATGCGATTGATACAATGTTATGGTCCTTGAAGGTGAGATCCTCCGACATGATCACTCCAGGTCTTTGACGTTGGTGTTTCGCTCTATTTTGTGGCCAGAATTTGTTTTGTACTCTGATGAAGATTTAATTTCCTCATGTTTACCATATCTGAGTAATTGAAAATTTCTCATCGTTGAACTTCATATTGTTTTCTGCAGCCCACTGAAAGATTTGGTTGATGTCTGCCTGGAGCTTTGCAGTGTCTGCAATGGAAGACACTGTCATGCAGATTCGGGTGTCATCTGCAAAGGAAGACACGGTGCTGTGGCTGACATCCTTGTCTATGTCGGATATAAGGATGAGGAACAAGATGGGAGCGAGTACTGTGCCTTGTGGAACAGAGCTTTTCACCGTAGCTGCCTCGGACTTTACTCTGTTGACGACTACTCTCTGTGTTCTGTTAGTGAGGAAATTATAGATCCATCGACCGACTTTTCCTGTTATTCCTTTAGCACGCATTTTGTGCGCTATTACGCCATGGTCACACTTGTCGAAGGCTTTTGCAAAGTCTGTATATATTACATCTGCATTCTTTTTGTCTTCTAGTGCATTTAGGACCTTGTCGTAGTGGTCCAATAGTTGAGACAGACAGGAGCGACCTGTTCTAAACCCATGTTGCCCTGGGTTGTGTAACTGATGGTTTCTAGATGCGTGGTGATCTTGCTTCTTAGGACCCTTTCAAAGATTTTTATGATATGGGATGTTAGTGCTATTGGTCTGTAGTTCTTTGCTGTTGCTTACTGCCCCCTTTGTGGAGTGGGGCTATGTCTGTTGTTTTTAGTAACTGTGGGACGACCCCCGTGTCCATGCTCCCTCTCCATAGGATGGAAAAGGCTCGTGATAGGGGCTTCTTGCAGTTCTTGATGAACACAGAGTTCCATGAGTCTG